TTTATGAATTCTCCGTCAGAATACTTTTAGGTTGAAACCCAAATATACGACGATTTAATTAGAAGCGTCTTAGCGACAAAAGCGTTATTGATAAACATTATTTATTGCTTTTCATAGAAGCGAAGATAAATGTATGTAACTTTGCTTTCTTTGTGGTAGTTGCAAAATCGATTGTGTCTCGTTACAGTATGCGAACGCAAAGAGAATAGATAGAGCCTGTCAAGTATTCATGTTCTTATTAATGTGTCTCGAATCTCCCCTAAGCGGCGAGCAGATTGCGTTCAGCGTTCACCTTTGGGCGCCCGGCCTAATCGCCTCGAAGTGATACATGTTGAATGATGATGTTACACATTAACATACGCAATGCGAAATATAATATGAAATAATAAAATATAATGGAATAACTATGAATAATATAATATATGTATATATATTATTCGTAGTTTTTCCGTCATATATATAACTAGATGCCCGAAGATGATCGTCCGCGTTCCATCGAGTTAACAGAAAAATATAGACATATAAAGTATACATACATATTTTTAGATCATTAAAAGGAATTTTTCTTTTATAAATATATTTTTGTTCCTTGAATCTTCTTCGCACACACATCCTCGATAAAAAATCTATTCGACTCAAAAATGACTTAAATTTAAAAAAATAATTACTGAGATTAGTGCATTCAAACAAACGAACAAACTCCTCAGCTTTAGATTATTAGTATAGATGTCCGCGACTACATTTACACATCTGAAAAGTGTAAAAAATTGTCTAAGATAAACAAATTGTCGATTTTTGATTTACAAAACTTCTTGTTTTGTTAACTGTTGTTATTATGTCCATTGAAAGAAGTTATGTAATCAGTGGTGTGGCGCTATTGTGTTATAAACCGTTAGTTTATGTCCCAAGACGTCTGTGGGCTGTTGGTTCATAAGCAATTACTCACAAACGAGTGCCTACAGGCTGCGGTTAGGCGGGTGGCCGGACCCTCATCGCTAGTTACAAAGTAACATCGAAGATAACACGAGTTGAATATGTGACAATAGACAACACAGCATTTCGTTATCGAATAACGTTTAGAACAAGAATACAAAGACAGCGTCAAATGTATTGTATGCAAAATAAACAAGCAGAGACGTGCGTGCAACGATATTGTCTTACCGGAATTGGCAAGACAATAGCGGTCCATCTACATTTAATAGTTTAAAATGCGAAATGTAGTAAACAGTTAAAGTCGGACCGTATTCAAATTCAAATAAAAAAAGAATTAACACATATATTACGCTTTATAAACCGTTAGAAGTATTGTTAATTTAACAGTAATGTATTAACTTCTATACATAGAGACTATTTAATAGTTTAACAGCACTGGCTCAATTTAGTTTGAAATTTTCAACAAAATAACTCGACTTGATATAATTCGACGGCGCTTGAATGGATTTTTTCTGCTTATGTTGCTAGAATTAAACACTTAAATCACTAATAAATATCGCGTTTGAAGCCGTTAAAATGTTTTATTTAAATGTGTATTACTCGTGTAAACTACAGACTCTATATGTTGTTAGGTTCAACAAAAGGCTGTTTTTATATTATCTGCACTATGTAAGAACGTAGGGAGGTACCTATCAATATCTTATATGTATGGGTGGGTAAATACCACCAGCGAAGTTATCCACAGAACTGAATATAGCCTCCACATCTGGCGGTGCAGATGAGGAAGTCAAATAAATTAAGGCGAGTGCAACTGATGTTCGCAGCGATCCCCGCATAGTCTACGTAATTAGCCGAACGCGGACAGATTTGCATATCAAAGTAGAGGAATAATTGAACTCGCAGTGTAAATAGCTAGAGTTGAATCGGATCTAGTTAGTGTTTCCCCGCTAAGTGCGGCGAACATTCTAAACAAGGCTTGAAAGGTGTTCAGCGTGCAGAAGGAATTTCAAAGACCTAACTTTATAAACGAGTTCTGCAATTCTACGAAACTTTTTGCATGCAACAGTACTCATAAGCGAGTATGATAATATAAGAGTTTTACGCGTAACACTAAGTAATTTACATAGATTTAGTCTAATATATCTAGTATCTTTTATTCGTTACCGTCTATAAAAACCTACCATAAGAAATTTTTGGCTTGTATCTCAAAACAACCTAGGCTGCTATGCCCATTTTGTTGCTATGTTCATTAACATTTTTTAATGTTCTATAACCAAATAAACGACTCAAATATATCATTATATTGTTTATCTACCATCACACAGGTAAGTAGCTAGTAAGGGAATCAACAAGGCTGATTATTTACCTTACTTACTACTATAGTACTTAGCTATCACTTGCATATCTTTAGTATTTAACTTTCATATTCTTCAAGAAGGCATTATGTACATATTATTTAATAGCCGTAAGTTAAACATTGTAATTAAAATAAATAAAAGTTAAAAATATTTCTAGATAAGTGATCACAACCTTTCCGGGATCTACGCTGCATCACGTAGAACTAAGACGGGATCGGTAATCTACTAAAAGAAAAATGAGGTCGTACGAAGAAACAAATGAATTAACATAAAACATACCCCGCGTTGTAAAACATCAGAAAACAAGAAGGCAGGGACAAAATCGTCGTTAATAACGCCACGAATGACAGTTCGCTTTCACTTGTTACATCCTTGTTTGTCGAAATGTTTTGCGACCTTTCGTGTATATCGGTTTCATATGGGCTTGCAATGTTATTTAGTTCTTTAGCAACAGGTTTCATAATACAAGGTATTGTTTTTGCCGATATATACAGGAATAGACAGCACTTTCCTGCTGGGGTTATAACATAGGAACGATATTAACAAATTAGATTTTTGTATTTTGCATACTTTGTTTGAATTAGATTAAAATAACAAATGAATAGCAACTACTTACGTATGAAAGATCAAGAAAACATTTTGAACTTAAAATATAAATTAAATTAATAAAATGTATATTTAGAAGTCTTATATGTTTTTGTGTGGCTTGTGGCAGTAAATACATTTGCTTCTTTCTTAATTAAATGTATGACACCAAGTTCGTATGTTTAGACGGCTCAATTAATGTTGAAAGCAAGATGCTAGACATAACAATATGTACTATTATTTAAGTACACCGAGTCGAAAGTGTAGGTTAATTTGACACGCGTTAATCAAAGCTTACGAGTACAGCCAGCAACAGCGGCAAATTCTCTCGGGATAATTAAATTAATCGACACGGCACAACAGCGGAGCCGGTACCGATTCTCTTCTCAGATATCCATTTACCGGCATTACTGTGCCACTCAACTTCAAACTCGATTAAGTTTAATATTAATATCGGGAAGCAACGCGAAGCGCCCCGTGAAGTTATTGGTTTCAGTCATGTACCGGTTAATTGTGACAAATTGAATAAAGCAATTTACCTATTGACTTACGAATTCAAGGGACTATGCCAATTATTAAATTATGTGTTAATGATCAAACAATTTTAAGATAAATAGTCTTAAATACGTATTAAAAAGGTCTTGCGCTGAATGATCGGACTAATTCGGTATTTTATTGCGTAGACCGCTCTTCGTAGACATGAAACATAGAACTATCCTCTGTGTTTCATGAAAGAATTTGCCGAAACTCTAACCTTAGAGGAAGTGAAAAGGGGTGGGGAAGGGAGGGGTGGTTGAAGTTCGTATGAGTTATTAATCATATTATGGTCTTATACGTAAATCTTTTTTTTTTCCCTATATTAGTAAGGCATAAGTAAATATATGAGTATCAATAGCCTTCTAAAACATTACGATAAGACGCGCGTAAAACTACTGTACACCAAGCTACTCAATAACAACTACACGAGACACGAGTTCTATGTTATTCAAGTGTTTATATTTCACACTTATGACCATTTATGGAGCGATCTAGAAATCATATTTACTCGGAACTCCATCGAGAGGGTATTATTTCAAAGTTTTCAAACAGTCAAGTTTATTTTGCTCAAGTGGGTGGTGTTTGGGGGCAGCGAAGCGGCCAGACGTAATTAGATTAAGAGGTACGTGGTCGGAACCGGATTGCAAGCGCCTGCGAACAATGCTATCACTCTAAAGCTCTTGGATTTCAATGGGCGTCGACTCTGTTTGTGGTTATTCCCATTTGTACGTGCTTAAGCCGCCTCTGTTTGCACAACGGCGCGTAGCGTATTGAATTTTTCTTTATCACAGTAATGAGTGAAGCGCGCTATCAGTGCAAGGCGTTTGTGGGATTAAGCATAAATAAATAACATTACGCGGCAACATTTTGATCACCGAATTAACAGGGTAAATAAATAAGTCCGACAAACGTTAATTTAACTGTAACCAATTAATTCGGCGCTCGCTATCGCGAATTATTCTTTGTTAATTTTGCGAAGCGTTCAGTGCGGAGTTTATTAAAATTTTAACGGTTTAACTTTTGAACAATTCTATTGTGATTAAAGCGAGCTTGGACACGGGTTCAACGTTGCATTAATATAATGTTTTTAATTAGGGGCACTCATCGCGTCAGCTCCGATCTTGTAATTACGAAAGTGAACAGCGGCGCGTAATCAGCGCCCTTCGCTACATCGCCACGCGCTGAAGCTTTCCGTGTTCAACTCTAGCCGCTTTTGAATCACATTTCACAACCTGTTGACGAGTTAGTTAAGCCCCTACAACGTGTACGGCGCCGTACAAAGCGAAACTCGCTTTTACCCCTCAAATGCACGTACGCTTGACAGCTCTGACCCGCCAGGTAATTTTCACTTGGGACGTGGCTTTAAAATAGTTGAAAATCGTACGTGACAAAAATCCAATTAGCGGAATGGTCTAAACAATTTGTAAACAGGTGCTCAGCTTCCCTCTGGGGAGATTAATCACTCGAAGCCGAGTGCAGTAATAAGCTGAGAACGAGCAACTTCGCAACTTGCATCGCGCGGACATTTATCCTCTACAGCGTTTTCAACTTCTTCAACTTTCAAAGAGTCGGGTGAGACTTGTTTAATTAATTTACGCGTATCGTAAACACCGCCGTAATAGCTAAAGTTTTAACAAGAGAAATTCGAAAGATACTTGCCTTGTCATCCTCGCCCTCACTATCACACTGCAAAGGAGAAAAACGATTATGAGTAAGTGTATATCTAAAATACAAATATAACATGCGTTTAATATGATAAAAAGCAGACATGCATGCCAGTAAAAGTAAGTTTGTGACGACTGAATAAACTCCGTTTAATAACAAAATCAACAGTGGGAGTACAAGAGTGATCGTTATTCAAATATCGTCGTCTTTATTATCGTGCAAATAGAATTATCATCAAATACCACAACAGTTTGATGTTAGATAATTGTATGTATCATTGTTATAACTCGATGTAATATTCATCCGTTTGCAAACATGATATCAATCTCCGTACAAATATTGGGTTGAATGGAAGAAAAAGACTATCGCTGACTCGGATATCGACAAATAATACAATATTTACGAAGTGAGATCGCGCGCGGGAAACAAGGGATCAGGATGAGATATTACAATTTCAAATAAATACAGAACATGAAGTATTCAGGACGGCGAGGTAATGTTATGTAGTACGGTGCGGCACCGTCTCGACAAATCTTCTGATTTAGCAGCGATACGCGGAGAATATCGAGTGGGGAGTATGTGTTTTGCGTGATCGGGGTAAAACTCGAACGAGGTAATCGCAATTATAGCATACAAGTTTATCTATGTACTTTTAATGTATCATAATTAATTACGTCATAATGTGTACAATTGTAAAAGCACGCCCAGATCGTTCTCTCATTAAAGACAACAGAAAGTAATGAAAATGAAGACCATAAAACAAATGAACGAAAGAAAACAGGGGAAGTCGCATGCTCAGTGAATTAAACACTTAATTTAGATAAAAAGCGCAGTCAAGTGTTCAGAGGTATGGCAGAGATTTGTAAAGTTAAGGACAACAATGATTATACTCACGATATAGCCTTTTCCGGAACTACAGCGGCTACTGGCCTGTAGGCAGGAAAGAGAAAGCGAATATGTGAGTGGGCTGAAGTGAAAAGGGGAGGTAACGTCGATCCCGTCTCTCCCTCAAATTGACATTGTGCTGTTATTTGTCGCCGATACATCCGAGATAGCGTTCGACCCCACTTTATTCTATTTTATTCCGTTAATCTCGCGGCATTGAATTGCGCCGGATCACGTGAGTAATGAGTTCGCGCGCATTGCTTTATGAGCATCGGGAGAGACGGGCGATAGCAACTAAAGAGTAGACTTACGTATGAAAACATCTAAGATTAACAAAACAATACATCCACAACACTGAGTGAGTGTAAATTAACATGCAATGCCGTATCGTAATCGTGTATTATACGGATGGGCACAAGAGAAATAAGAATCTGTCGACATAAACACGCTAATAATTTTGGTACATCAAGATGGATGATATCTGACATTGTGGTACTAGAACCGTGATGGATACGTACGTCACTCAGACGGTCACGCGAAGAGTCAGGGTCGCGCGGAGCCACAGAACTGCCGGTGAGTCGTTCTGATGCCCGGCCGCTGTCATCCGACGTGCCAGCGTCTTGGAGAAGTGTTAAGCCCTGCAGAAGATCATCTTATGTAAATTGGGAGACACAACGGAGTAGGGATGATCTCCTTTGACCGTTAACAAAGGGGCGGAATAAAAATACACACCGCGAAACCAATAACAAATTTATTATAGATCAATTTTAATCGTATAGCGTTCAGTTTATAGAATAAAGAGCGATGAGCACGAATAAAGGGGCACTTTATTTTTCACAATTCTATTACTTGAGGGGAAAAGGAAAGCTTTTATGTGGATTTACGAAATTGAGCGGTGTACGGAAAGTTGATAAGACGCACGGGAAAGATTCGAGAAGAGACGGGCCTGCCCATAAGACGGCCGGGTCTCTGGGTCGACAGTAAAAAGAGTTTTCCATTTATCACAATTTGCGTCTATTTAACCGTGGGGTTCGGGAGACGGGAATGCGTCTCCGCTGAGCGTCGAGTGCTCGACGGAACGGATAAAAGAAAATAAAACGACTAACTCGCTGTAAATGGATAACTCTCCGACCGCCCTCGCTCACTGAACTTCCATGTTATTATTACTTGGAAGTTAGTCTCCAATTTGATTTTGTTTTTCTTTCCCTTCTCGTTTTATTATCTTTTTTATTACAATGCCGTTATTAATTTTTATTGCTATATTAATAATGTTATAACATAGATATTGAGATTTATATATATTTATATTAATTATACACAAAAAGGTAAGTTTATTGAGACACGCTTAAGATTATAGAAATCGTAACTTTATTGTTAGTAAATTTCACATTGTATATTTATGAACACAAAAGGCAGAATAATTATTCGCTCTCAGTTAGTTTCATAATAAATGATGTCGGCGGAGGGTGTGGTCCCGTCCCATAATTTAGATTCAGATGTCATTTTTTTGGCACAATATTTTCCGGATTTTTCTTGCCTCCCGAAAATATTATCGCGGGTATTACGAGGCGAATAAAACTGAGCTCTCTTAACGACAATGAGAGGACTCGGGCGCATAATAAAAACGAAACACATTACGACCCACGTAGACAACAACAAGACATACGCGGTCGATTACACCGTCCCCAATTCTAATAAAAGGGATCGCGCTTCGACCCTTTACACGGATAAGCGAGTGAAAGTCGCACATATCAATTTAATCCTCGTAGCCTGCGCGAGCGAGACCCTTTAATCCGGAACAATCCCGCGGCGTGGTTTTAACGCCGGATGTTAACCGCATAATTGCTTTCGCTCATTAGAGCTCTAACTATGCAATGGTTTAACTGATTTAACGTTTCGTTGTACGGAATCGAGGCGCATTGAAAAAATTGAGGTTACATTAGCACCGGGTGAAACGTACGCAATCAAAATGTTGCTAGTACGTGTCGGCGGCGAGTCCGGTTCGGCGGGCGCAGGGTGGTTGGACGACACGACCGCTAATTGAAACAACGACTGCGGCCGGACATTACTTATTCATGAGAGATCCATATGCCGTCGGAACGTGATCAACGCGATAAATCATTCAATTACACTTTTCGTGAACAGACTCCTCGCTTCGCTGAGTGCGAGCGGATTCTGAATGCGTTTCTGATTTAAATCACGATTAGATAATAACTTGTCTATCGCCACCTCATTAATAATTTATGATCGTCTGGCTGTGCGACTCTTAAATAGAATGCCATTTTAAATGCATAATTCCATACACAATGCAAGCACCTCCAACTAATATTGAAGTTGTTCTTCTGAAGACGAGATTTGGTAGTTTTAAACTTTTGTGTGCATTGTGCAGTGAATCTGTGCAGTTTTGAATAGAGATAGAATAAGTTTCAATAGAATATGATGAAATGTAATAGAGTGAAGTTTACGTAATATTCTTTTCGTTCAGATTTATTAAATGTGGAGTTTCATTTCTTTAAAGCATGTCTACTAAAGATATTTTTATTAGTGACGTCGCTTTGTCTAAAATAATATATTTTTTAAAGATAGAGGATTTACATGGCACGGAGTTCACTTGATGGTAGGTGGTTTACCCCAGGTTTTTATAGCATCTAAACAAGATGAGCTGTCGACTTATTTTGGATTTAGATATTCGGAAATCCACAGACTGAAACCGCTTCACTGCTTTTTCATCTATGGATAGTGGTTCGTGACCCGGACGTAATTTCTATATTCCTACCACCCATTTTATATCATTAGCTATATATTGCTACCATTAGATCAAAATGTAAATATTAGCTAAAGTTAGTTCAGGAAAACCATATCTAAGAGAATTTGCATTGCCATCGTTCCATTAAACGAGGCTAGAGCACTAATTCTCCTATTATATCAGCGTATGATCCGCATCCGATGATCTGCATAGTAAGTAGTCAAATACAGCGATGCGTTAGAGTGGTGGCTGACGGCAGCGAGGTGGCAAGGCGCGGTTCGATAAGTGGCGCGTTGCATAATTTATTTATGTCTCAGCACGTTACTCCCTTGTTGGGAGTTGACGGCGATACCCGGGCCCCGCTCTAATTACTGAGCACAGTGGCACGGACAGAAGATACCGTGCGACGACACTTAATTAAAGTAACATTTGACGTTCATTCATTCCTTTCGGGATTATAAATAAGTAGATTAAAAGTTAAAACCCTGTACATCAATAGTATTGATAACAATAATAGTTAAAGAACACTGACCAAATCCTACCTGACGACGACCAGATATGTTTTCTATAATGTTATTTTCTTATTTTATGAAATATTAATAATAACTCATGATAAAGCCAGGAAAAACCCTGCTCTTTACATAACTTAATGAAAACGCTCGTCGACATGCTCATGTGATTCTACTTCAAAGTTATTTTAGATATTAAATTAATATTATAATAAAAAAAATAAATTTGAAAAGCAACATTTCAATTTTTTTTTCGAATAGGATAGTATTTATTTTATTTACAACAACAGTATTATTACTTATAAAATACACCACAGAAAATACAATACATCATAGTAAATCGAACCCTTTATGATTTTCGCCGCCAAAACTTTGAGTCACTTCCAGTAGTAAATTTTGGTCATTGTTCTTTGCTTGTGGATTTGAGGATTTAACAGAAACAGAAGATACAAGTTAAGATAAGATACAAGTGAAGAAGAATAACGTACATTATATAAAGCGAAAACATTAAGATTTTCATCACGTCTGAAATTGCCACGCAAGTGCGAAATACGCCGACCACGGCTAAGTGGTGATATTCAGGGTGGAAGCCAGCATCAATCGGTTTCAACGTTGACGTGACACGAGCGTGGCGCAGCCCCGGCAAATGGAATTTTGCGACAGACCGAGTCCAGATTAATATTACAGCGAGCCAGCCCGTGCTAATGGAACTGCGATTGAATTAGCATTTTCACTGCATTGTGGTGATTACGCTCGCTAATTCCCTATTTTATAACCGTGTTTAGATGTTGACAATATATTTCAACAATTCACCAATAACTAAATAATCAAGTGACGTGTATTTCTTTGAATATTTATATGTTTGCCGCACTAATGCGTTTCTGTTGCTATGATGCTTCGAGAAAACGGGGAAAATTATTCATCTTTGTGGTTTTATCTTGCGTGTGCTGCGAAAACGGTTCAAATATGTATGAAAGAATGATTCCTCTTTAAATGATCTAAAAAAATGTCAGCGACACTATATGTCTATCTTTTAAGACTAACTTGCAAAAACGCAACGGACGTCTGGAGTAACAGCAATAATGGAGGTTTGCAAAAACGCTTTTCCACGCAGGCAAAGTCGCTGACACAGCTAGTATGCAAATAAAACACTACTATACACTTTTTAAGAGGCGCTGCGATGACAATCACATACTTTAGGCCCGATAACGCTATCGGAGATAAAAAAAAATAAACAGTAAGTAAGTTTTAATGTTGGTACAATATTTTAAGCCTTCATCGAAGCCACTTGAAAGTGTTTCGCGCAAATAAAACAATCCAGCGAGATAAAATCAAGCGCGATATTATCGGTCTCTTAACTTGTCACCACAAATTACGCAATGTTTGTTAACATAATGTGGTAATAGGTCTCGTCCGCGTCGGCTTGTAAATCCACTAATTACATAACGGTTTACAGATTAGCATAAGCTAGGAGTTTAATCCCACCACTTCACGTTAAGTTTACTTTGAGAATAAATTGCGGTTTTAATTTTTATGTTCACTCTCGTAAAGTTAATTAACCTAATTCCGACGTTTGCGAACGCGAGCGGTAAATACAATTCATTTTAATTAAGGCCTCCTAGGTGTTGTACAATTTTATATAGCAGTGAAGGGAAAAGTTGTTTTTGTAAATCAATTCGTGTGATAAGCGCATACGCAACGCTATAAAGTGGGCAATAAAAGGTTTCAAGCTTTCGCATTTACTCTATAAATACACATATAATAAAACATTGATTTGAGCTCAATAAAATAATTAAAAATGAATAGCAACCACTCTTATGTGAGTGAACTTTAGTTTTATAAGGAAGCGCGAGAATTTGATCGAGCACGATAAAAGCGATTAATGGCTGAGGTGAATCGACTTGTAGGTCACTTGTGGTTATTTATCACTGCAACTTGACTATTTATTGCTTGTATTAGCGGACAGGACAAATCATTAGGGTTCCGGCTAACGAAAAGGAAACTAAATTGGGTAAGAATTTTATAAAGAACCTCTTAACTATTGCCTGTGGTTTGTGCGAGTAGTACTCATTTAAATAAAACACTTTTAATGGTTTAAAACACGAACTATATTAGACAACTTATTTTTTATTTATTTTACGTTTTTGTTGCTTTGCAGCAGTCCCGGTTTGGCTGAAGATGGAGTGTCAAATGTCAAATTCAAACGAAAAAAGGTAAAACTTAACCACGTGTGTATTACGCAGAATAATACGTACGTGAGGGTATCTGAATAGATTGGCAATGCACTGTATTATTTAACAAGATAAATAAGCGAAACATATAAGTAGAAGGTGTGCATATAAAAATAAAAAATATACAATGGTGATTTATTTGTCACTTTTCGACCGAGCTGTGTATAATGCAGATAACAAATGTTAGCGCGATTCTCAACTAGTTAAGGCATAACCGAGGCACAAGGAAACGGCAATATCACTATGAAAATAAAAACATTTCGGCCTCGCAGACGGTGGCTACTCGCCAGTTCTCCGTGACAACACAATAAGGATCGAGCCGTCGAAAGCAATCAACTTGTGTTCACTTCACCGCAACCAATTCCGTACGAAGTTCAATTCAATTTGTACTTTATACTGTTATTTGTAAGTGAAGTTTCGTTCTAAGCCCGCTGAGGAGGATTACATACGTCTGGGTAATCGCGTCTCCTCAGGATCGTTAATCGGGAGCGTGAAATACGACTACTATTTTAACGTTAACAATTATTACAAACAAACGCCGCCCTAATGTACGTGTAAAACCAATTAAAGTCAGAAGTTGGCTGTCTGCTACGTGTTCGAAATTTAACTGCCTTGTCTTGAAGACGGGAGCGTAACTTAATGATCGTGTAGTGCACGGGGAGACTATTCCATTCGGCACTAAATTAAATTTGCGAAGCGTTATTAGCTGGCACGCGAACCGCTCTAGTGCAATGTCTGATGTTTATGATATATAATCTTTTATCTATGAGAACTGTGGCGATTTAATTCAATATTATCTTAATATAAAGAATTATAATGGTAATAGTATGATAAGCCGTTTTGTAAAATGACGAGTTCCAAGTATATATAATGTAGCGTTATTCCAACATCTAACTATGATTTAGAATACATAAAAAGTGAAGCAGCGTGATAAACGTTGTTCGCGAAAAGTTTATTTCATGTTTACACGATAAATTCTCGACTCGGAATTCAACAACTACGCAAGAGAGTCGGCATTATATATTCTTTCCTGGAAAGAGCGAGATTTTCCGCTTTATTCGAGTAGCAGCGCAAGCGGCGGGAGGCAAATTGGATGGGATTGCGACATATCTCGGCTGGTGGCGAACCGTTGAAATGCGGGGGTAAACGCTCCTTTGCCACCGGGCGAAACGTGAACCTATTTAGGGCTTATGTACAAGAATACTTACGAGACGAAGCTCGAGCTTGTAGTATTAGTGAAAACGTTGCTCCTTTTCATACGGCGCGATCTTTTCCGTACGTTTTCGAGATCCTCACATACCGACCATACAGAGTCGTATTTAAATATTTGGATATAAAATTAAAATATCTACATGCACAGCTTTCCACGAAGTATTGAAACTGTATTTTTACGAGGGATTAAAGTGCGTTGTATCAATTATTTACTGAAAGCACTCGTTCATTCATATAGTACGTATGTTTCGACTGGCAAAAATAAAATAACCGGTCAGTTTACAGTACAATGGAGAACAATAGTTTAGCGGACAGCCGGGTAGGTAATATCAACAACGAGCGCTCGCTTTCAGACGTTTTATTTTAATATCGTGTCGACTGCCGTCCACATTTCGCCCATTCCATCCAGTCTTTATCCAGTGCAATATTCAAGCGCATTGTGATTCACAGCCTTCCGTCTTGCTACTCTCACTACAATCAACTGTTCACACAAAAGCTTTTCAATTTTATTTCCAGCGCTTATTTATTACCGACAGTATTTACTGGTTTTTGTTGGGATTACTTTTAAACATTCGCGTATTATTTTCGCATTTCGAGGCGCGGATTTGTAAAGCTTTGCGATGTTTCGAAACGGGGGATCCCAGTTCCTATGTCTCGAAAACAGCCAGACATCAAACAGAAGACATTCAAGTTTGTAGGGTTGAATGTTTGGCGAGTGTTCAATTGCGGTAAATGGCTTAGTAAACGATAGAAGATAAACAGCGACCGACGAGTATTACACGGCCGTTTAGCGAGTTGAGATGGAGCGCAGTGCGATGTCAGACGTCTCTACGTACCTAAGTTTATGTGTATGCCGAGAAAGCAATGCCCGGAAGCGCGTTGAAGGCATACAGATTTAGACTTGCTGCATTTAGATGCGTGAGATCACCGAAAGCATTTATAACGTCAGCGCAAACTGGTCGGTGACATAAAAGCGCCATTTCGTTAATATAGCATAACATAAAACAGCTTTAAAATAAAGACAGAGTTCCGATATTATCTATGGCAGAAGATAGTTAAAACAGTACGCTTACAAATAGCATTAGGCAAAGACAATTGAACACCTACACAAATTTAACTGTCCGACGCTATTTGTCCATCCAATGTGTAAACAGAGAAACTATTAAACACTGTTTATCATTACATTTAAACAACAAGATTTCTCGTGTTTGGAACCCACAAATTAAAAAATTAGATATTCGATTTAAAAAAAAAAATAATCGCGTTAGCGTCCGTCAATTAATTGATTTGATAACATTATCGTAGCAACGTCGGTGACAATTGCAACGATAACATTGATTAAGATAATTAATAATTACTAATCATTATCAAATAGAGGAACGGAAGTATTAGAGTCGATGTCAGATCTTTCAACTTTATCATTTAGATGCGATCTAGTAAGGAGAGTTATATTTTAATAAAACACTTCAACGTTTAAAACCGCGATATGTATTGGTTAAACTTATTTCAACAACGGCCCGACGTTTCGGATGCTTTGCAGCAGCCGTGGTCACGGGGAGATAAGTTTAACTAATATATAACGCATTTTAAATCGTTAAAGTATTTTATTTAAATGTGTATTACTCTCGGAAACTACAGACAGGGTTATCAATTTAATGCTGTGCTTGTGTGTCTGAACGATAAACAAATTACTGAAAACAAACCTACACATTAATACACTCTTCACACGATCCATTTTTTTGGAACAAATGTTCGTCTTGAGACGCAGATAATATAAGCAAACGAATAACCTCTAAAGCTTAGAAAACTTGGCAGTTCATATTTGTAAACTCATTTCAGTTTTATACGGAACAATAAACTCGGTGTGGCGTACCGACGTTCCGTGCCCGTTGAACGGTCCATTTGGGCTACAACTCGATCGCATAAGAAAATTTGCGGTCTCCGGCCGTGGTCGTTCGCAATTGTGTTTAATTGCCGCAACCGGCACTTATTTACAGTTGTTCCGGTCGCGTTGAGACCACTCATAATACTTCGTCTACGATTGTTATCTCTCACGTATCGTAGATAAAAGATGTACATGTTCAATTGATTGATATTAAAATTATATCTATACTAATATAGCTGAAGAGTTTCTTTGTATGTTTGAGCGCGCTAATCTCAGGAACTAGAGGTTCGAATTAAAAAAATATAAAGCGAAAAATGTAAAGATTATATATCATTATGGGTTTCCAAAGCAAACGCTGCAAAAAGTGTTCAAGATACCCAAAAAATATTGATGAAAGAATTATTCCTTTTAAAGAATCTAAAAAAAATGTCCGCGTGCTATATCTCTACCTTTAATTATTAACTTGTAAGAACGACGGGAAGGGACGCGACCGAAGGAGTTTGCAAAAATTTGAATTCCCTAAAATAAAGATTGTCGCGGACGAAGTCGCAGACACAGCTAGTAAAAAATATACTTACATTAGAGTTGACATTAGCCGGGTGGTTGCGGGTTGCGTCACCGGCAAGAGCAGCCAGCGGCAGGCGTGGTTTCGTGGACAGCGCATTGGTGCGCGGGGAAGAAGCACATTTGACTGCGGCCTGTTAAGATTTCAAAATGTCACTTCATTTCATAAAGCTCTTATAAAAGACTATGCACATAATTTCGTTGTTATTCATTTTAATGAAACAAAAACAATAAATGTAGAAATTCAAATATTCTTTAGTACACGTTGATTATAATAACTTGTGTGTATAGTCCACAGTTCAATTTATTGGAAATATTTTTATTTGGTCCAGACGAACAGATTTTCTAATTTTACAGACAGTCATTGTGCTCCTAATCGTTTTTAACTAAATACTTTTCATACATTATAGTAGTATACTAATAAAATAAGACGATGTAGACGTTGACTATTAATTAATTTTATGAAGATCGTATAAATTAAAACACATTTAATGGTTTAAAACGCGATATATATTAGTTAACGACAGCATATGTGACTCTTGACATTAGGGGCACCCCTCCATCTCTAGCCCCCCCGTGACCACCGCTTAACTAATATATTTCGCGTACTACTAGCGTAAACTACAGGCAGTACATAACTAAGATCGATTTAAAAGGAATGGCCTTTAAGAGAGGACTTAAATAACTTAAAATGTCAACCATTCTCGAGAAAATTTATCGCGGTCATCAACTAGAGAAGGTAGTAATTGGTTGAAACTAGACACGATATTAAATAAACTAATAGATTAATTATTATTGCCTTCCGCTTGTAATTTATATTGTCCACGTTTAAGTATAAGAAAGACCTAAAAAATTACCCTTCTTCGAGTTTCTTGGCTATTATTGCCTTGTTGATCATTAAGCGAATGAGCACAAAAAGGTATTTTGGGTCAATGTAATTATATTATTACAATATTTCACGTATCCAATTATAAAATACAGTACAGGTTGCTTTATGAATAATGATAAAATATATTTTATATCAATTTGACATAAGAAAAGAACTTGGAAATATTGCTCTTGAAAATTCTTGTCAATAAAATAATGAACCTTGGTAATAAAAGAAAATGTTGATGTTAGTAATAGATAAGACTTAGCGAGCAGATGAAGTTTTGGTAACATTAGTCATTTATTTTAGCATAGCTATAAAATTTACCATTCAATATACGTACTTAATGTTTGAAAATTCATTAAAAGATGAAATAAAACCCAAGATAATCCAAGATGAAAATAAATAAAAGCAGATGTCCGAAGCCATACATAAAATAAATCTTATAGTAAAATCCTGTTGTTGATTTTGACAAGTTAAATCAATGAGATCATTCGGGTAAGCACTATAAATGTTTTATAAAGTCATTAATAACTAGAAATATAGCAAATATGTAATATAGAAACGTATAAATTTGAAACACATAATAGCTTTATAGTAAATATCTGTTTCAGATTTTAAATTGTTTTCAATTTATTTAAAACGTATAAGTTATTGTTTTGTCTTTGAATACGATTTATGAACACTAGTTTGTACCAAATGTAACCTACTTGATATAACAAGCAACGAAATAAATAAATCAACGAAAACATTCATGTTTGCGGCAATTTATGTGGAGCACGAAATATTACGATAAAGGCATCTGGATTTAAGATGTCGTTCCCACGGAGTTAGAGACTGCCGGCGGAAAAATGTCTCGCCCGATTTCTACGAATCTGTGATAACTTTTTTATTGCACTGAAATGAATTGTATAAAATCCTTTGTCGAAATCTTGGGAGATTTCTTATTCGACCGCGTCTTTACGAAGTTTTTCATTGATTTTAAATGTTGGTTTACTAAACCAATGTTAAACAATCCTTATAAAACAAACCTATATAATACTAATTATCTTATCGTATAACATATTATTATCAATTAAGGAATATGCAATTTAAAAACATTATATTGCTTAATATAATAAGACGTCAATATACAATATAATTTACGATAATTGCTGTTTACTTCGGCCGCAAAGAGAAATTAAATGTAAATGTGAATATTATAACCGTAAATTATCAGGCGTAGAGAGTATATAAAACGATAGATAATGTGTGTCATTAAGTTTCAGAACAGCACTTAAAGTGCATTTAAAGTGGACTGATAGTACAGTGTAAATTGTACGCTATCGCTTTGGGAGATCTCACCTTTTACTTATCTAGGATTCGCCATTGAACGCTTATTAGCATTAAGAAAATTATAAAGATTAGCTTCTGTTATTAACTCATCAAAGATCAATTGATCAATAAATCATTTAGGATTGAAAAAACAAACTGGCACGGACGGGTTTTGAGAATGAGCTTGGTTCTTAGGTGTATGTGGTCCAACAAATAAACACGGTATCTCCATTGCTAGAGATTGCTTAAGACAAGGCTAAAATAAAATAAATTAACATAATCTGATGCATTGCTTCATTTACAATTAATATCGCTTTTATAATCATGTGTAAGGGTGTGTACACACGGAATATCTTTGTTCCTCTCACAATCATTCACCAGAGGAAGTAATCAGCTGTCATACTCGTTTGAGATCGCACCTCACCGACAGTCATTTACAGTAATTACTCCGCCGACAACAAATTAATCATTAATGCGACAGCACTGATATTCGTATCGAAGCCACAAACAAACACGCTTAATGAATTTGTTCAACTATTCATTCCGGACCATCAATTACCATAAATTAAATTTTAAAACACGATTCATTTACGAACAGTATGAATAAGATTAGTATGATACAAAAACTTCGTGTTAAACGATTAAAATGGAAATAACAGGAAGAATTTTTAAGTTAATTTTACAGAGTATATTTTTTGCTACTGAAATTAATTTGAACTACAATTTGCTTAAGTATTTTTTGCCTGTGATAATATGATTATAATTAATTATAATACGTAATTAGCATAAGTAATAAAAACATATTTAAAATTTTAATTTCTTATGGATTGTAATGTAATATAAATATATTATTATAAGAAATCTCCCGGCGTCTGGACTCTGGTTTGTATAGCATTAATCAATGTAGGCCATTGCTGAACGCAAAATTGCATTTAGTTTTTAATCTTGCGGTAGCGGAGGCCGAGCTTAGCGTGAACTTAATTTGCCAGAGCTCTTTAATTAACAGCGACACGGCAGATCATTAATTAAGTCATCAGACAAGCGGGTGTGAGCAAACTCGGAGCGGATTAGGTGCTACACTAATGAACGATTATGGAGCTCTATCGAGTAAAATATAATTATCTCGTTGAACAACTTCAGCCTGACAAATTTTCTAAGTTAAAAGCGAATTTAATTTAAATACGCGTGATTAAAAAAAGGTCAAACTCCAATTTTCTTTCATTTGTTTTTTACTAGAGATAGCCCACAAGTAAAAAATAATGATTCTACAACTTCTTGTACTGACTAATAGAAAAAAATATGCAGAGCTAACAACTTTATTGACACGGCGAAATTACACAATACAAAAAGAAGACATACCTTAAAAAACGATAAAGAAATTCAATTATAAAAAAGGTATAATACACTATTCAAGACCCATTATGATCACTATAGACCGGCGGTATCAACAGCAACAGCGTTAAAAAAACGAAAGCAATTGTCAAGAATCTCAACAAAAGAGGAGAGAAAAAACTCATCCATTCAGTTTTGTGAGCGGAGATTATGTTTAGATAACAGGCTTTGTTTGTTATTATAGCGAATACCTTTGCCGTGTAAAGTTGTGAAACATGCAACGTGTGTAATGGGCTTACTTAGTTGGGTTTAAATATACGAAGGCGTGTAAACAAAGTTCGCGTTGTAACTATGTTATCGGAATGAGGAAACAATTAAGGGTGGGAGTTAATCGAAATATTTTGTAAACTCGTGTCGCGTGATTGTCGCGTGTCAATGGGTGTTTATTTCGAATGGGGCGCCGCCCCCTGCCCACCCCGTTTCAACGGGATCCTTTTAAAACAAAGCGTATTAATAATGTAATGCGCTCCCGAGCAAATATTGAATATTAAATGAAATGTATTTGAATTGATTGGAAGTAGAATGAAATAAATCTAATTCAAACGATGTTACTCCAACCAAAATTAAAGGATAGGTGTAGAACATAATTTGCTTATTTCCTCTATAAGAAATACCTCTATAAGACCCAATTACTAATGTACACAGCAATGTCAACTTCATATGAGTATTTAAAACGATCTAATTAACATAAATGTCTATATTTTTCACGGTCTACCCTTTTTATTTAGCTAATTAAGAGTGTTGGTTAATTATCAAATAGTGCGTATTATAGATAGATATATATATATATATATATATATATATATATATATGAAGACTTCGTTACATAAAATAAATTAACTACTTAATACGTTTCGTGTTTTAAAGCGCTTAGTGCGTTATTTAGCAAATATAATCCCTCCCCTATTTCAGAATATTTCAATTCGATTTTACTTTGTTAAACTTCACTTATTAACAATGGTGTAGTACAATACCGATTACAGATGTTGACCATCGAAATCCGCTTTATCGAATCGTTATCAAAACCCTAGAGATTGAAACGAGAGCTGTCCGATTTTGTCGGATATTCCATTCATTTCCGGGTCATCAATCAACCGAAATATGTTGGAGTTGTCAACATTCAAAAGGGCACGAAACGACCGCTCAGCCGCGTCACGAACGCTATCCGACCAACTTGATTGTAAACATTGACTTTGCTTTGACGTTTTGTGCGATAATAGGGCGATGTATTACGAATGTTTCAATAATACCGCGCAATAAACACAAATATGTGCTAATATCGACTTCACGGCGTCTAATAATCAATGGACGTACAAAAGTACAAGCTGAATAGAATGTTGCTGATTTATTGGTTAAGTGAGATCACGTTTTGGTCTTATCTGTGCACGATTCTATTTTAAACTGTAGACAAATTTAAGATTATGTAAATGAGACAATTTGAATTACTTAGTAAACAGAAATAGCTATTTGCATGCATCAAAATCCACTTCAAATTGTAATTCTAGTAGGACGAATCGACAGCAGAGTAAAAAAGGTAAATTACACGGCCCGAACGATCAC